GAGAGAGAGGGGGAGAGAGAGAGACAGACAGACAATATTATTTGTAAATATACACATACATATGCAAAATATATAATTATATATACATAGGTGCATACATATACATGTATATTTCTTTTAATAAAAAATTCTAAGAAGATAGAATCCAGGTATAACTCAATGTCCAGGACAGAGTAAGGATATAATAAAAAGGCTTAAACACTAATATTCCATGGTAATAATTTATTCCATTGGAATCTTAAATACGATCCAATTCATCAGACCTACAAATTCAAAAAGCTATATATATATATATATATATATATACCTACGTTCAAAGTGCAACTTAAAGTTTCGTTGTTCTACAAACTCATCAGGCACGAATTATTACTTTTGATATATATATATATATATATATATATGTGTGTGTGTGTGTGTGTGTGTGTGTGTGTGTGTGTGTGTGTGTGTCTGATTGAATATATTCCAGACATTATATCGGCTAATTTTTAACAAAATCCGTTCATACTCACGAATAACATGTATTCATGTTAAAAGATGAGAGAAATGTGCTAGAGCTGTTTGAATTTCTTTTATTTTCAAATAATGCACATTTGTCTAGCATTTTGTTACATTGCCACTTCATTGTTTCTTAGGAAATTAAATTGTTTAATATATAATATGTATTCATTTACATCTGCTTCTGTTTAACGTTTGTTGCTGCCATTGATTTCAAATCTACAGGCCATGACCCATTTATAGAAAATATTTTTTTAATTTTTGCTTCTTCACTTTGTTTAAATTTAACGTAGGTCATATTTTATTGGTTGATCTAAACAAAACCCACAGACCTGATAACCCCGTCTTTTCGTCTTTTTTTTTCGTAAAAAGAGACTGCATTTTTTCTTTTAAATATGATTAAATCGCCAGTAATTTACAATCGTCTGATGAGACGCGTTGATACACACCGAAACAAGACTGCAATTGTGTAGCGATTTTGAAATGTTTTTCAATGTAATATCTTAAAATGAAGAATTTTGCCCAACTCCATGCGTGCGGCACCTTCAGAAAATGCCTGAAACCATATCACTGATTGACCCAAGCCGTCTGAGTGAAATTGGATAGATAAAACCCTTGAGATCCTTCGATAGCTGTGCTAGTACGTAGTCACAGGTAATCGTAGCTGAGGGCTTCAGCGTGCTGGCCTTGTTCAAATTGTTGCTCAAGCTATATAACACGCTCTTTCCCAGAAACTGTGACTAAGGTCTGCTCAGTATAGTTGCAGTATAAACCACAGGTGGGCTATGTGGATATTGAATAAACACAAATGCAACTGAGCAAGCGTCTGCGATAGGGATTAGCTAACTGCCCTAGTAGCCAAAATATATATATATATATATATATATATATATATATATATATATATTATTATCTATCTATCTATCTATCTATCTATCTATCTATATCTATATATATATATATATATATATATATATATATATAGAGAGAGAGAGAGAGAGAGATAAGTAATATCGGTGTAAGAGTAATGCCAATTTGGCTCCGAAAGCCACGTTCTGTCTCGGGAGCGAACCCGTGTCCACTGTTTTGCCCTCTCGCCCGGATTAACTTGGAGGTAGCCACTTTAAGCTGTGGATCAATTTATTATCTACACCAAATCGAGTTGCTTTCCTTGTCGATTGCTTCTTCTTCATCAGCACCTTGGATAGCCGCCATGTTGATAGAGGTGGGTCCCCAACGGCATTTCCTTGATGGCCAACGAAATTGAATATCCTGGGAATACGTTGTCTTGACACTGAAAGTGGAGTGGTTCGGCATACTACGTTGGGGGAGGGAGGATGGCGAGATTGACGCTAACTGGGGTGAGTGACGGGGGGTGAAGCAAGATAAAATGAGTTCGGGTCGGGTAGAAATATGAGACATACGTTTAGTGCTGAGGAAATAGGAAGAAGAAGAAATTGTGATAAAGTATATGTCGGGAAAAGTGAACGAAATGACGAATTACGATGACGAAATAGAGAAAAATGAATTATATTGAAAGCAAAAGAAATAAAAAAAACAAAAAAGAAATACAGAGAAAAATATATAAAAAAAAGGGATGAAAAAAAACAAAAACAATAATCATATCCTCAACGACACATGGCCCAGTGGATAAAGACGTTAACAGGTTACAACAGTGGTGAACCAAAAAAAAAAACTTGGAGTTGATTTAAAAAGAAAATAACTGAGACATTCGGAAGAGGCTGTGGAACTGAACAATCCACCTCGGTGGGCGAAATAAAGGTTCGGTTCGAATTTCAAATCGCTAGAAGAAGGTCGTATCATGAACCGAAACGTTAAAAACAATGAAGATGTGGATAACAGTCCGAATAATGTAAATAATGTAAGTAATCATAATACCTCATCTCAAAATATCACTAGAAGCTAGTCACTGGATCTAACCAACGACTTTATCTACTTGGCCATGTGTCGTGAATATGAGGATAATGAAGATGAATTATAACAATCGAATGTAAATAAGTAATCATAATACCTCATCTCAGAGATATGACAACCATTATATCACTAGAAAGTCACTGGATAACCAACCATCTACTGGGCCATGTGTCCTTGTGAATATGGCAATGAAGATGAGGATAAAGTCCGAATTATGTAAATAATGTAAGTAATCATAATACCTCATCTCGGCCATTATATCACGCTAGTCATGGATTCAAATCGTCTAATGAAGATGAGGATAACAGTCGAATTATGTAAATAATGTAAGTAATCATAATACCTCATCTCAGAGATATAGACAGCCATTATATCACCTAGTCACTGGATCTAAAACGACTTTATCTACTTGGCCATGTGTCCTTGTGAATATGGCAATGAAGATGAGGATAACAATCCGAATTATGTAAATAATGTAAGTAATCATAATACCTCATCTCAGAGATATAGACAGCCATTATATCACTAGATGCTAGTCACTGGATCTAACCAACGACTTTATCTACTTGGCCATGTGTCCTTGTGAATATGGCAATGAAGATGAGGATAACAGTCCGAATAATGTAAATAACGTAATCTTTCCAGATATAGACAACCATTATATCACTAGAAGCTAGTCACTGGATCTAACCAACGTCTTTATCCACTTGGCCATGTGTCCTTGTGAATATGGCAATGAAGATGAGGATAACAGTCCGAATTATGTAAATAATGTAAGTAATCATAATACCTCATCTCAGAGATATAGACAGATAAAGACGTTGGTTAGGTCCCGTTACTAGACACAAAGAGCTGTGTGTTCAATAACAGGCTACAACAGTGGTGAACCAAAAAAAACTTGGAGAGTTGATTTAAAAAGAAAATAACTGAGACATTCGGAAGAGGCATGGCACGTGGAACTAGAACAATCCACCTCGGTGGGCGAAATAAAGAGTTCGGTTCGAATTTCAAATCGCTAGAAGAAGGTCGTATCATACGACGGCCGAAACGTTAAGTATATGGCAATGAAGATGTGGATAACAGTCCGAATAATGTAAATAATGTAAGTAA